AGCTTTTTTTCTCAGAAAAATGAAACTTCCATCTTTTTTTCTGATTTTGCATTTCTCAGGGAATTTAATTTCCATCCTGCATCTCTCAAGTGGAATGAATTTCCCAAATAAAATGAGTGCATTGAGCAGTTATGGTAACAGTGCCAAGTGCAGACTGTAGCACCAATTGTCATCAAATGGTGCTGACCACATTCCTAAAGGATGCAGAAATTATCTGTACTCTTAAGCTCTGTAAGAGCAATCACCAAAAAAGAATGTCAGCTTTTCTCACAGCCTATCTGCTCCGAGACTCAGCTGTCCAATGTGATGGGAAACACAATTCAAAAGGGATGACATCTAAGTGAAATATAAGAAAATAAATACAAGAGATGAAACGTAAGAGAAAATATTTTCATAATATCAAACAAATCAGAATAAATATAGATGTTTTACACATCAAAAGTTCTCCTCCTCTACCAATAGGTAATTGAATTGTTATTACAATCAAAGTACATTTGGGAAACAAAAATAACTGTCTGTAAACAGTCATGTTTATGGATAGCAAAAAGTGTTTTAGGAAACTGTACTTTAGCACTGGTAGGTTCAGAAACTAAAGCAGCTTCCTTAACATGGTCACTGCATTACCCCAGTGTCCTTATCAGGAATTTGTAATACATGAAGAATAATGGGAGGATCCAGCTTCCATTGTACAGTGGCTATGTGGCATCAGAGTATCTGGGTGTTATGCCAATATTTATGTGACAGAGATCAGTAAGGCTCATGGCTACAGACCACAATAGAGCATTTCTGGTCTTTAGTAAAGGCATCTTCAGCATTAAGTCCATTTTCTGCATCAACCCTCATAATATAATGTTGCATACCAAGTAAGTCACCTAGTTTTTTTCTGGATTTGTATATTGTTTCAAAATTGCTTTATGATTCTTACAGGAAAAATATTCTCTGCTATTGAACACTGCTTGAAATTCAGCTGTCTATATTATTAATGGTAGTTCAAGCAAAAAATACTCTTTGGGTATTTCTGTTATTTCTAGTAAAAAAGAATCACTAAAAAATTGGTTTCTGAGATTTTGTTTGTTGACTGCGAGCCCTGGCCTGACCTCAGCCTTGAATTTAAATCCCCAGTAGAAATCTGAAATTAATCCACCTCTGGTTTGGTTATCAGTAATTATAATTATTAACAGAAGTATACAGTAAATGAATGGCTTTCAGTGACATGGTGTTTTAACTCAGAACAATGGATAAATAAAACCACACTTCCTTCTTACCTTACAGTACCTTTTCCCACGGCAGTGCTGGATCTGGTCCTTACATGAGCATGGTATAAGACACCATGTGCCTATAGACACAGACATTTGCTCAAACACTTAGCTGTCACCTATTAGAAACCTAAGCAGTTGAAAACTGTTCCTCCTGTACCAGGGTCAATGGTTTGAAGCTTGCTTTCTCTACAGCTAATCAGCAGAGTGAAGCGACAGCAGTCAAAGCAGCTGCCCTAGGAACACCAGCACGGGAGCTCCAAACCCTGCCTTGCACGCCAGTGTTCCCATGGCCTGCTGGCTCCCTTGCAAAGGCCATGCTTTCACCATGTGAAACAGTCCAAGAGAGCTCCCAGACGACTCCACAGAAGGATTTAGTGTCCTCCTGTGGTCTCCCACATGCAGCATGAAGGAAACCTGCTGTTGGGAACTATCTGACTTGGAGCTATCTCTACTGGTAGCAGCAGACTCAGAGTAGACTGTCAGCCCGTTCAAATGCTGAGATTTTTTGAGACACCTCTCCAGCTATCTGCCTGTAAGCTACTGTACCCAGGAGAGGTTTAATGGGCTGAAAGGAATACCTTCTGCCTATTGTCACAGGACTCGAAAGCCTGGACCATCACCAAAACAGGAAACAGAAAACCTAAGCTGTGAATCCAACTGAACAAATTGGCTGGATTATTACAGTGTTGGGAAATCCCAGCTTTTATTACAGCTGGATTGCGTGCTGCTCTGCACTGCGGGCAATCGGAGCACGGCAGCAGGAGGAAATGACCCTGTAGGGAGCAGCCAGCAAGCCAAACACTGCATAACCCAGAGAGGACAGCACAAAGAAGCAGGGAGGAGGCAAGCGTAGGGCAGATGAAGGGTTATAAGGAAGGAGCCAGCAACACATTTGTAGAAGTGCCTAAGAGACTACAGGGAAATGTTGGGTTCTTTCACAACAATAGGAACAGAAGTGACTGGCACAGCTTTGCAGCTGACTTACTGCAGCAATACACATTTTAGTGCATCATCACAATTCACAGCTCAGCAATTAAAAGGCATGGATATCTCTCTGCTCATCCCATCCGTGAAGTAAACCAGACTTTTCTGTGTCTCCTCCCTTGAAGTTTAAGCTTCCATGCTTTTCTGTCTGGAAGCACGTGCTCAGTCACTGCTCTGCAGACATGCAATAACTCAACGGACTCTCTGGGTTCACAACCCAAATGCCCATGGGATTAAGGCTATACTCCTGAAAATTAGTTAATTAAACTCTAGGTCAGGCTTTTGTCTTATGAGGCCAAGCTGCTGCAGAAAAACGGCAGGTCAACATGAAACTAAAGGCCATCTCATTGTGCACAGAGAGAAGACATGAAGGTGGTACAAGCAACTCTGTTAACTCTGTTCTGCCATCCCTTGGTGGCTGAGTCCATTGCTTGCTCTTCTTTAACCCTGCTGAGGGCTAAAGAAGCACCTGAAGAAATAGATAAAATCATTAGGAGAGTCTAGATGCTGCCCTCAGGGTACAGCCCTACCACCCTCAGTGAGATCAATGATGGACCATGAGGTCCAGGGAAGACTGAGTTTATGGGGCTTAGGCACCACTGACTCACTGTTTCTGGAGGGGCTAGGCAGAGTAACAAAACAAGGGAATAAATAGGGATTTCTATGGCTGATCGTGCTCCTTCCTGTAGTTACTGCTCTAAGTTCAGAATCGCCCTGGAGGTGTCCTTCCCCTGGACCCTACACAGTGGTCCAGTGAGCCTCAGATCTCTTCCCTTCCCCCTCAGTTCACAGAAGAAAAACACTAAGATGTTTCCATTGGCTTTTACATCATCTTTTTGTAGAGACTAATCTTCAGTTTCAACAATACATCTTTTGTGAAGCACTCCCAGCAGAAACCTTAGACACCTTCCCTAAGATCTGTTTGCTTATAGAAGACGAGGTAGGATTTGTTTAAACCCAGCTAGATTAATGTCTTGCAGACATTAGTGAAGTGAGATTTAATCAGGTTATTGCTCTACATTTTCCAGGGAAATAAATCACACTTATTACTAGGTTGGAATAAGATGCAAGGCTTGGGCTGAGAACATTTAGTCTCTTTTGTTTTTCCGGAGGGGAGTGAAGGGATAACTTGAAAATTGCTGCAAGGCTGTTGAACAAGGAGCTCAGCAAAAGGCTCTCAACAACCTGGAGGAGGGAAAAAGGAAAGCAAGACACAATGGCTAGTGCAAGTCTTGGGGTGGGCCTCGGTCCCAATCCCCTGCCTTGCAGAGGTGTTATAGGATCCGTATGAGTACAGGAAGAAGACAGGAGTTTAAAACAGGCTCCCAAGGTCCATCTGATATCCTTCAGGAGAACTCCTCCATAAGTCTTGGGACCTCACTCCTCTTCTGGGTGTCTGTTTCTGCCTGGCATATGGGGATGTCTCCTTGCATCAGTGGGGTGTTGTGGGATCAAGCAACCTTTGCAAACCCACTTACAGACCCTAAATGGAAACTGTGATATCAGCAGGTCTCTGGGTGTAGGCATATCTTGTTGCAATGGTTTCTGAGTTTGCAATATGTGCTTAACAATAAACAAGCAACTGTATTTATTCATGCCAAACATTTTTTCTAAAACAAGACTGGAAAAAAAAAAAAAAGTCACTTTTCCCAGACTTTTTATTTTAAAACTGCTCTTTTCCTCATTCAAGAAACTAAAAAAAAGGCTTTGCTCTCAGCTACATTAGCAGTGGCTTTTTTAGTATGCATGCTAATACATCCCCTTGTATAGAACCATGCATATGCAAGACATGAAATTTGGGAAATTAAATTGCAAAGGTCTTCTCCTTTCCACCAGCATGGCAACAGGCTGCTGAAGAAATATAAATCTTTCCACTAACTCCAGGTTTGTTTGCATTGAAGTGCCCAAAACCCAAAAGCTTTAAATCCGTTTCCCCTTACCCAATGGGCTGTGCAAACACTGGAGAAATCAAATTACAGTAACACAGCCTGCAATCAAGTTTCAAATCATGCAACAAAGCAGCACAAAACACAATGGGACCAAGTCAAAATCTTATTGCGGAGCACAATAAAATACATCCTGTTTGGTGTGAATGAAAAAAGGAAACACCAGGCAAGGCAGCACTGTTGCTGTTGCTTGTAAATACCCTCCTGCCAACGCTTTCCATTGGATAAATTAGTCCTCTGAACCCTAACTGCATCAGCATGAATCAGCTCCAAGGTAAAGGCTACGATTCTGTTTCGTGTTTAAAGGGAACTCTTTTCCTTCCCTTTTCTTGGCTTCCTGCTTAGAAAGAATAGACTCTCCAGAGACAATTTTGGATCTGGACCACAGTCTTGCTCTCTTCAGATACCTAAGTATCTCTGGGCAGGAGTACATTTAAAGAAGCAGCTGGTAATTATGAGCCAAGTGCTTACTGGCAGGATTTCCCCCTGCTACTGAGCCAATGCTTTTGGGAACTAAATGACTCTTTGGTGATAACTATCAGGTAAAACCTACAAGCCAGGGGAGGTTCCCTCATTAGAACCATCAGCAAGAGAATGGAAAGGTAGGCAGAGGATAGCTGAAAACTGTGTCTGAGTGCTGCTTGACACCCTTGTCCTCCACACACCCAATGTGGTTGTGTGTAAGCACTGGACATTTCTAGGTAGTGCTTGAAAGCTACAAAATCTGTCCCCACATCTACAGCTGTAATAAAACCAAATGACCTTTTCCTTCCAGCTAATCAAAATGCTGGAAATCAGTCACAGCACTTACTCTTTTGGAGGATTAAGGTCTTCTGGGCGAGCCTCAAAGAACCTGAAGACTTCATCGCACTGTGAAATATGAGGAGGAAGCCGAACCAGCGCCTGCAAAGCAAAGCAGGGAAGGAGAAGCACTTAGACAAGTCAAGTTCGAAACATGGCCTCAAACATCTAAACTACCAAGCAAGAGGAGGCAAAACAGTCTTGAGAGGGGGAAAGGAACACTAAAGGAAAACACACCTGGCTACTTACCTGAGAAGAAAGGAAACAGTATGTCTTGACTGGAAATGTCAAGCAGGATACAATGAATTCAGACAAGCAATGGTTCTTAGAGTCAGCCAATGTAATTTTTTGCCATGTGTAAAGGAGCAGAACTTGGTCCACATATGCAAAACCATAACACCAAGTAGATAAGAGCTCTGTGGCTGGGAGAGTCTGTGACATGGGCTTGCACAGCACCTCAAACAATGAAGTCAGGGCTTACAGGCTTTATGTCAATGCACACAAATTCAAGCAGTGAAAATCAACACTCACTAATACAACATATTAACGTGCTCCCTAAAGCCTTCCATTAAGTACTGTCAACAAAATAAAAGCAGAGTTTGCTAAAAGAAAACCCTGTAACCAAACTAAGCAACAATTTGCTCCTAAATTAACAGGAAAGAAAGTTTGATTAAATGTCCGGGAAAAAAAATAAATGGGCAGAGAGGTTATTTCTGCATGAAGAAGGTTTTGCAGCATGTCCTGGCTAACAATGTCTACGCTCTCCGTGGCACAGCACTTGTCACATTCAGAACAGTTAAGTACAGTCTGGGCATCAACCACGTTATGTCACAGTGTACTAGAAAGCAAGACTTCAGACCAACAAGACAAGCACATAAGGCAGAAATGTGCTATAAATTTGCTGTTGAGAATCTAGAGCTTGATAGTGCCAAAAGATACCAAAGAGTTGTCCCCAGCCCACAGAGATGGGGCAGCAGCTCTAAGTGACATGATTCTGAGACTGGCTCCAGAAATGACAAGCAGGAGAGGAAAAGAGGCTGGACTTCACCTCCTCCTCTGCTTAGTAACGTTGAAAATAGGCCACAGGTTAAATATAGACCAAGCTTTTTAGACCTTCTGTAAACCTGTTTGACAAAATGAGATTGTCTGGCTCTTCTGCTAGTTGAAAGTAGGACAAACAGTCTTGAAAGATGGATGAAAAACTGCACCAGAGCTAAATGAAGATGCATTAGTGTGAACAGGTTATACTAACCATGAGACATCTGACTGATCTTGGTCAGATATAACAGAAGGCCCAGCCAAAGCTTGAAGGCAGGACAGGACAGTTGGTATCCCACACAGCTGTTTTTAACCAGGCTTTAAAAGTGGCCAGAATTGTTTCCAAGACCACTTTTTCTTGGGGATGTGAAGGAAAAGAGTTGAAAAAAAAAGGAAAAAATCCTGCTCTGAAACTGCAGGTCTCCAGTATTAGATGATGGAGTCTTGTTTTGAGGTGGTTGGAAATTCGAAGTCAAGTGCTTCCACACCTACAGCTCTCCTTTCCCTGGTGGAGGGATGTTATAAAAACACTAGGAAAATCCATTGAGTATCACTAGGCCTATGAAGAATGAGGCCCTGGCCTTTGGTCATGTGAAACTGCACTAGAGAGCAGAAAAGATGCTCGCAATAAGGAAGCAGCATGAGTTGCAGAAGCTGTGCAACAGCTTGGTGGGTGCAAGTGCTGGGGCATGTACTACTGGCTGCTGCACTAACACAGGATGAAATGTCCCAGCTGGAAAACTTAAGCACTTTTATGTGAATGAAAGTCCCCACTGTTGTCTGTTCTATCTTGCCTAAAAGTGTAACAAAAGTATGAGCTCTCTGCCCTTATTCCTACTGTACATAAACACATGCATCCAGCTGGCAAACCCGGAATTACACTGGCAAGTCAGGAACTACCCAGGAATAGTAATGATCACAGCATGTTGACAGAGGAATGTCTCATGAGCACGGGCTAACAAGGACACAGACAACATTAAAGCATGTTTTATTTATCTGAACCTCAACAGGAGACAGCTATCTGGCAGTGAAGCAATGCTGTCTAACCAACAGTGGATGGGGCTTAGATTTACCAATGGCTCTATTACTAACACCCTTCTTGGTTAGGGCAGGTTACTTAACCTCTTTCCATCAAATTCAGCTGGGACATATCTTCAGTCACCCCCTCACAATGTTGAGCAATAACACTTACCTAATCTGCAGAAAGGTTAGGAGGCTCAGATATTTAATACCTACAGTGTGTTTTGAAATCTCTGAGGGCTCGATCCTGTGCAGTCAATGGGGCAAGAGCAAGCACTGCAAATGATACGTATCATTATTTGAGAAACACATATACCCAAGTTATACCCATCGTGGGGGGTCTCAGATGCCTTCTCAAAGAGCTATCACTCCCCTACAGGTTGCAGGTGCTCACGCTCCACAAGAACCAGGCCCCAGAGGTCAATACCGAGTGGGAGCACAAAGTGGATTTTCAGTGATGGAGGAACACAAATCCTACCGAGCTGCTGTGGAGATTTTTGTTAGTAAATGAAGGGAAGCTTTAGGAAATCTGAACCCCCTGAACCAGTGGTCAGCTGCCTGGAAATCTCCAGAAACACTGTGGTCCTGCCAAGCCAAAGGGGGATAACTGAAAAGCACCTCCATGACTCCAGGTTTTTGTAGGGAGTGGATAAAAATCCGCCAAAGTAATTTCCACACCCAGCCATCCACCTTCCCATCCCGGGGCAGGGCTGGCTCTGCTGCTTCTGAATAATATCTCAAAGTATTGCAATTTCCAGCCCTATGCACAGCAAGTTGCCATTGCATGTTTTTTGGGAAGTTCAGGTGTAAAGTCCAGCCAGTCAATTTTTACTTGTTTTTGTTAAGGAACAAAACCCTAAGAAATGGCCAGAAACTCTAAGAAAGGGTAAGAAAGTACAAACAATAGTATAAAACCCATCAGAATCCATCTATTAATTTTGGACAGTGGCAGGGAGCAGCAGCACTGATTAGAGAAACAAATGTCTCTTCAGCAAATACACAACATCCACCCTGGAACAAGCCAAAGCCAACGCGATTCCAGCGAGCAAACAAAAATGTGCATTGAGGAGATGAGAGACAGTGCTGTCACACTGCAAGGGGAAAATATAACTTTCTGGCATTCCAGCAAGAGAGTTCCAAGGCAGAACTGCAACAGCCTGAAGAAAAGATTGCAGGGTCAAAGAAAGAAGAAAACAGATGGTGAAAGGACAGAAAGGACAGGGAAGTAGCATTCTTCTGGGGATGTGGAAACCAGAGGTAAACGCACACAGCTACAAACAGCAAGCATCCAGAAACAGCAAGGAACTTGCACAGGAAAGGTGAGAGATAAAAAGTGCCAGCGAGCAGAATTCAGCCTTGCACAGCCATCAAGTATTATCAGTAATAGCATGTTTCCTCGCTCAGCATGCAAAGACAGGCGTGCACTGCTCAGCCCTCACGCACCCCTCAGGAGAGAGGCTTTCATGCATTGTCTCAGCCTGTAATGATGTCTGTCTCTCTATATTACAGGTTACAGACGGTCTGGCAGAGTGGATGACTCAAAAGGCTAATGAAAAGCTGTAATGTCAGGCAGGGTGTGAGCAGGCAGCCTTTGGTGCTGAGGATGGCTGGCTACTCACCAGAACCACCAGCACCAGCGCATCTGCACCAGGCTGTAGCACACAGCATCCAAGGCCAGCCGAGCACCAAGTGCAGGCAGGGGTTCAGTGCTTAAGGTTACGTGAACTGGAACAATATTAAAGTTCAAAGGCTTCATGGAATACATGCACATGGGTATAAAACCCTGCAGGTACTTGTAATGATGCACTGAGTGCTGTGGGTTGCATTGATGCAGATGTGTTTATAAAAGACTGATGCTCAGACGCGTATACGCAGAAACTTACAGCACGTGTGTAGGCGTGTTTATGTAATTTATGCACAAAATGATATTCACCTCATTGAACTTAATGAGTCTTAAATGGGAGACTGGTCACACTTGTCTATCAACTTGTGTAATTCCTAGAGAAAGACCAGCACCTTCAGAGGGTGCTTTGTCTACCCACCATGGATGTCTAGCCCTGGTTGGGGTGAATCACTGTTTGTCTCCACACAGCCCGTTAAAGCACTTCAGATGCACAGCTTTTAAATCCGTAATGGCCAGTGGGATTACTCCCAGCTCTGCACACAAATACACAGAGCCAGCTTGCAGTACTGCATGGTTATGACTCCCTGGCTTTTCATATAAGTTCTTAATTGCTTATCATTTTCATTAACATTAATCATTAGTGCCAGATGTTTGGGAGTGCTCATGAGTGCAGCAAGAGGGAAGGTGCAAGTTAAATAGGTCATTTCTCAAAACAAATAAATAAATTGTTTCATCTACAGGAAAACACCTTCTGTTTGGCTGAGAGCCTCCAGCAACTCCAAGCTTGAGTTAAAGCACTGAAGTACAGAAGCTGGATGGCAAACACTGACTCTGCCTGTCCCTACTCCTGCTCCCAGCACATCCACACAGCAGGAGTCAGACCTGCTTCTCAGCAGATGAAGAGTACATGGTGGTGACTCAGACCGGAGAAGTGGGGAGATGTAAGAATAAATAAAAGGCTGAGGGAAGGAGGAAAGAGGGTGCAGAGGTTTGGAAGCAACTGGAACATGGAAGGATGCATGGAAGGGCCATAATGCAATGGAAAGTGAGGGTCTGCTCCAGGTGCTGAGAGAAGTGTTGCAAATATTAACTCTCTTTACTGCAGCTGGTCTATGTGCATCAGGATTCTGAAATGTAGATTAAAAAATGACAGATAAAGTTTAAAAGTATTTCACTTAAACTCTCATTCTTGACCAGGACTATCACTCCATCTTCAATCAACACTAGCTTAGTTGTACAATGGACAGAGAAAGAAATGTCTGAGTACCTGTCGTGATGGGTTCAAGGATTAAAACCTTGAAAGACAGGCAGGACAGAGAGACCAAGAAGGAGGTAATTATGCTTTTGAAGTATGGTCTCTCAAATAGTGAATATTAATGAAAGAATTACTTCCTGGCACTGATGTGACTTGCTCAATTAATTTTCATTTAGGTGGTGTACATTTGGATGCTCAAGCCTTGTAATAGGAAAGCCCCTAAGCTTCTACTTAAAGCCACATCCAGTTGGGACAGCATAAAGACATGTGACAAACCCAGCTAAGTGTTTATGACAATGGGACTTTACATCTTAAGATCTTCCCTGCACAAAGATGCTTCCTCCATTCAGGATCAACACACACAAATATGCAAGTCAGCAAATGCTGGTCTGAGTCTTCCCAGAGGGCTGTGTAAGGAGAGAGCAATGGTTTTGTGAACCACTGACCTAAGAGGCTTTCTTGAACACAGGACAGTACATACTGGACAAACACTCACCAGAGGTGTGTTTAGGAGATCAAAAGCTTCATAAATAAAATGCCCCTGGGAAGGGAGGGCTATGAAGTTGCTCTTTCTTTAACAGTGGCAAAAAATCCTAAACAAATTAAGAAAATCAGGCCCAATGAGCCCAGAGGACCTTAAATCACACTAATTCCAAGCCTACAGTAAAGAGCAAAACCATCCAGAGATACCAATTCCACTGGCAAAATGCAGTTTCTTTGGTAACTCACTCAGGTTACTGGTAAGGACATCCAAACCCTGCACTTTCATGTTTACAGATGAGAAAACTCCTGGAAATCTGCTCTTGTTTTCATTGCAACTTCAAAGTTTCATGCAGCCTTAGCAAAACCACTGGCCTAATTACCCCTGTGATGACATTTCTCTAGGTTTGTACAATGCAATGAGGAATCACCCAGGTGTGAGGGGCATGGAGGCCCATGCTGTAGGGTCCAGAGGGATCATACCCCGATACAGAACATTCTGCAGGCCTCTCCTTACTGCAAAGTATCCCCACAAATTCTCAGACAGCCTCTGCCTGTCCCTACTCCTGCTCCCAGCACATCCACACAGCAGGAGTCAGACTTGCTTCTCAGCCATGCAAATCACCTCACTCTGACAGAGACAGTCTGCAAAAACAAAACAACAAATGGTCAAACATTTGCGCTGCTCATTTGCCAGGGTCCATCTGTGCTTTGTTTTTTCACGGCAGGTGAAATGGATGGAGAACCCTTGTCTTGAAAAAATATTACCACGAACTTTGCATCTGAACCTGCCTCCCTCCTCTGCTTCCTTACAGATTCCAGTGGACAGAGGTCTATTGTTTCATTTATTCATTTTATTATCCCACGTCAGATTTACTCCATCAACTTCACCCACATCATTCCAACATAATTCTCTAAATTTTTCAAAATTGTCAGCCTACCCATTTTGACTAGCACGGGACATAAACTTTGAACTCTTATAGAAGCAGGATTGAATTCACCAAAATGATGCTTTTGCTCTGCAGTTCTATACAATACTCTGAAGAGTCAAAATACCCCCTGGACAGAGGAAGAAATGCAAAAAATGGGTAACACTTCCCAAGAGAATGATCCCACTCTCAAGTCACACACACATGCCAGTACCTGCTGGTACCTTCTCCTACAGAGTAGGAAACAGCAGTGAGCAATAGAATTTTATTAGATAAAAAAGGATTCTCTCTCCTTACAATAAGAAGGGATTCATTGAATTTCACTTCAGCTTTCTAGAAGCTAAGCAAGTCCCTGAGGTTGCCTCTGCAGTACAGCTGAATGGAGAGACACCCTGTGTCTGTTTTAGGCTTGTAAATGAAGCCACTCTGGTTCCGACTCACTGCCTAATTTTCTGTTCCTAGTTCACAGTTTTATGTTATTATTGGTTAATATCATATTGGGACAGAAAGATTACAGTAAGGTTACAAAGGTCATGCTCCCAGAAACCTTTTAAGTGGTGACCTTCAGCAAAGGTAGCAATAAAGCATTTCTGAATTTTAAGTCTCTGCTATGTCCCAGAGATGAAATCCTGTCCCTGCAGAAGGTCAGTAACAGAACTACTGACTTCATTGTACCATGCAACTCTCCTTCTACGAGTTGTTTCCCTAGATTCTTTGTACCTTTGAAGTTCAGTGCCTGGTTTTCATACTGTTTTCAGTCTTGTGGACTTTCATATCCTATGCCACCTTTGAAACAGCAATAACATAGGACAATCATTCCCTGAATAAACACAAACTGGATGAACCACAGACATTCAAAAGAAAAGCTTCTTCTCAAAAAATGTGCAGACTCTGAAAGGCTGGGAGAGCTAGGAGTTGCAACTCTCAGGTCCCTCTGTTTATTTACACAGATTGCCAACTATGTGCTGTGGGACTTCAGAGTGACTGAGTATGTCCTGTGGCAGACAATCAGCTACCATCTTCATTTATTCTCTAATTAGGAGAAAGATGTAGCAGAAGGCAGAAATCAGCCCATAACTGGATCTGATGACAGGCAGGACATCATAGTTACGTTTACACACAGTGACTTTACATAGTTACTTCCAGTCTCGTTGAGTGAGCACAAACTCGCCTGTCATCCACACTGGACACTAATTAACATCCAGGCATGGGTTTCCAGTCAAGTGCAGGGGATGCAAAAAAAAAAAAAGGCTTGGCATTGCTTTACTTCCCAGCACTCACTGAAGCCCTCACCTAAATGCTGCCCAACTCAGGCACAACCATGGTCATACATGCTGCAATGAGACATATGCCTGGGGGATGGAAGAGTTAGCCAGGGCATTCTTTCCTTAAAGACCTGACACCCTGTGCAGAAAGACACTACTGGGGATGTAGCCCTCTTGAAGCACTCACAGAGCCATGAGACGCAATTCCTGCTCAAGCTTTTCAGTGACTATGAGCCTCGCTCTCCAGTGCCATCCAGATTTAAACAACTCCTACTGTGAAGCGCAGTGGCAAATTAAATATACATTACAGTAAACTGCAAATGAAATAAAAAGAGGCACAAGAAATGTATGAGCCAGAGACCACTGGAAGCTGGGATAATATCTGGAGAGGTCACTACAGATTTGTCATACTCAGTGCTGAGCATCACTGTGGCTGCTGCTGGAGACAGGAAATGCTGGGCTGGGGGGAACTGGGCTAATCCAACACGGCTGGGTCTATGCTCACCAAAGCAGCACACGGGCTAAGTAAGCAGCTTGGCTTCAGGGAGGCATCCAGCCATGTCTGGGCAGCAGCAGCAGATCTCAACCAAAGTGAAACCATGCTATGATTCTATGCTTCTGTGAACTCAGCCAGACTTCTCCAGGAGAGAAAAAAAGAAATGAGGAGGAGAGCAGCAATCACAGCACCACAGTGTCAATGAATGTGTTAGCAGTCAATGCTGCAACACATCCCTTTGGCCATGCAGCGCCAGCAGCCCTGACCGGGTCAGGTCAAGTGTGTCTGGGGCACAGACAATGGGGTCCCACAGAACTAGCTGCCCCTGCAGCATAAGTCACTGCTTTCTCCTCCATCTGCTGGGTGTACCCTGACATCAGCCAGCCCTCACCGCTTCTGTCGCCAGCAATTCCCGGCGGAAGGAGGGCGGCTGGGCACCCAGTCAGACCATACACATTTCAAAGAAATCCATTCGACTGCCAGAAGGAAGACAGTGTGTTAATTGTCACACAAGAAAGCCTAATCTCATGAGATAAGACTTTAATAGAAGCTTCCTCACCCCGGGGGTGCAGATGGCACGGGTTTCACCATCACCACCACCCCCCAGCATGCCTCAGGCAGTTTGGCAATCTGCTTCCAATTTTGGATGAGCAAATGTCTGACTGTAGAAGCTCTTGGGAATGCATATTTTCCCCTCCACCTGCTCCTCTGGCTTTCTAAAAATGGAAAGAAAATCTCATGGGAAATAGAAGAGGAAGTCTGGGGTTTAAATTATGCACTGACATGCTCAATATCTCTACAAAAACTGGGTATCCTACTTGCTTAGAAATTACTTTTAATCTACCAACAGAGAATTAATTATCATCAAATCATACACTCTAAGCTAAAAAGGAAAGATTAGTTGACTTCATCTTCTCAACAGAGCTGTGCTTTTCTGTGCTGCAACAAATTTCCAGGCTTTCACTAATGAGAAGCACTCCTGGAAGACACTGGTCCACCCTCAGTGCTGCACCAGCCAGCACTGTCTCTCATGTGGCACTGGGGGACAGACAGGCAAGGAACAGAAGAAAACACCATCTTAGTTGTGCCTCTGCCTGCTCAGGTCCCAAATCATCGAGGCTGATACAGAAACAAAATCTAAATTTAGGACAGATGAGGCTTAGAGCCCTCACTGAGTAAATGAGGCCTAAATCCAGTGCATAAAGTTTGCAGGGGAAAATGCTACGGGGATCCTGGGAGCAAACGGCAGCCTGTTTCCACCTGCCCTGTTAGTCTTGGTGGTGTTTGGGAAGGACCATCCTTCCCCGTGATGGACTCAACACAGATGAAGCTGTGAGCAGTATCCAGCAGGGAAAGCCCAGAGCTGGTGGTGGCTGTGAGCCCACACACAGCAGGGCTGCCCAGTCCCCCCAGAGCTCTTACCCTGCAGTACTCGTCGATGGGCTTCAGCCGCTTCACAGCTACGTCTCGCACATGGCTCCTCCGGAACAGGATCTTGCCTAAGGAGGGAACAGATGGGAGGGTTAGCCGCATCGCCTGCCACGTGGGATAGCACTACAGCACCAAGCAGAAAGGTCAGCAGACAGGGTTTCATCCCTGGCTCCAACTGTGGCTGTCAGCAGTGCCAGTGGCCAAGATCTGCAACCCTGTTATGCCCCGAGTTGAGAAGACCCAGTGCTGCAGAGGTTAACACAGCAGCAGCAGCTCTGTGTGACTGCAGTCCCCCATCACTGTAAGTTAGACAGGATGGCACACTCAGGAAGGGTGAGCAGCAGATCCACTTCTGCCCTCAGAGCAAACTGCACAGAAAGATGCTGGACAGGCAGCAGAGGGACACGGCAACAGTGATTACAGCAGCATTCATGGCACCTCTTGCAACTGGATGCTGCTGGTTCTGCGTTTGCACAGGAGACACAACACACGGGCAACAACTACCAAAGGCACAGCACCTCTGTGAAACCTTGGTGACTGCCACCAAAGCCCTGCTTGTATGAGCTGCTGGAAGGGGACCAAGAGGCTAATTGGGCAGAAGGAGTTTTCCTGATTTCATTCTGTAAATAACTCAAAAGGTTTTGGTTCTCTTTTAGTGATGGCACTAGCCTGGAAGGGACTGACACTATTTTATGACTTGCTTGTAATTCAGGGTCACTTTGGCATGTCTGTACTGGCTGTGCAAGAAGCATTGCTTGGATGGCATGTGGGCTTCACTTACTCCCCACTCAGCTGCCTCCCACTATGGATGCTCCTGCCCTTGCAGGCAGACAAACCACACAGCCAGCTCACAAGCAAATACAAGGCTGTTGGTGACAGAGCCTTTATAAATCTACAGAGAAAATCCAAGTAATAGAAGAAAAATAAACAAACTCTTTTTCTGAAACTAAAAAAAATAATAACCTCCATGTCCTTACTGGATGACATTTCTGCAAGCAGTTAAGATTATATAAATGGCTGGGTTTTGTGTGAAACTGATTGCAACAAAGTTAAT